TTCTAGAAATGTTAGCGTACCAAAAAGGTCCAAAATAAACCACATTATCTGTCTCTTTACCATCAAAGTTGAACAGAGGGAAAAAATATCCAAATTATATTAATTCATTTTAATTAATTTAGTCTAACAAAGAGAGTGAGTTGTGGTATAACTGTACAACTAACTTCTTTGATCCTCACTGTGCCAGCGATAGACCTTGGTGCTGAGGAAACATTTGAGAAGAAAAAACCTCTTCCCTATAGGTATGTAATCTAACGGACTTTGCTGTATATTTCAATGCCTCTGAAGGTGACTGGATGCGTGTTGACGTTGAGTCTTTTCCACACATTTCTAAAACTAAAGGCTGAGTCTAGACTTTCACTTTCCTTGTGGTTTTCCACGGTAACAAGCACAGTGCTCTGCAGTATATGAAATATAACAGTTGATAAATACAGATGACTAATTCACAAAATTAAGAATGATAGTTGAGCAGAATAGGAAATGCAGCTGCTAATGGATGAATCTGTGCCATTTTGTTATGCACAGGTTTGCTTAAAATAAAAAGTTCATCTGTGCAATGTAATAACCAGCTACATCACCCTGATATTCTTAACAACAGAATGCTTACTGAAGACTGACTCTTTCTTTGGCATGGGTACAAACATGAATCTCTCCCAGTCTGTTGGGCAAGTAGCTATCTTCCAAATGCCTCTGCATATACGAGTGAGTGCTTCCAGCGTTCCATCGGCTTGTTCAAACATTTCAATTGGTATTCCATCAATTACTGGAGTCTTGTTTTTGGCTAATGCTTTTAGTGTAACTTTGAAGGTTCCCGAAATGGTAGAATGCCGGCTAGTTTTTTAGCACAGTTACTCTGTGTATTCTTCCCATCTCCTTTTTGACGTTTCTTTAATCATTCAATATTTTGCCCATAGAATCTTTCAACTTGCAACTTGAATTTTTTCTTCAGTTATTTCAATTTAAGAAATGAGCATGTTTTTCCTTGTGGTTTTTCAACTCTAGGTCTTTACACATTTCATTATACTTTTTGGCCTTGTCTTCTCAAGCTTCCCTTTGAAATTTTCTATGCAAAAATTTGACTTCATCCTTTCTTCCATTTGCTTTCGCTATGCTATGATTATCAGTAAGTTTCAGAGTTCTTCTTTTGACATCCACTTTGAACTTTTTTTCTTTCCTGTCTTTTTGCTTTCTTCATGAAATGTCCTCCCACAGTTCATCAGGTCTCCTGTCATTAGTATTCAATGCATCAAATCTGCTTAAAATGTTCTTCAAATCCAAGTGCAATAGACCTAATGCTGTACCTGGCTCTTGCGAACTTGTTTTAATTTTCTTTAACTTCAGCCCAGTCTTACCTATGAGTAATTGATGGTCTCTTCTACAGTCCGCCCCTGCCCTGGCTTTAGTTGCTGATATTGAGCTTCTCCATGGTCTTTTCCCACAAATGTAGTCCTTTTAATTAAATCTGTATAGTCTATTTGGAAAATTCCATTCCAAAGCAAACAATAAATCAATACTTAGGTAAATCAAAAGCATTAAGACAGCTTAATTGTAGATGGAACTACTCAATGGTATGGACTAACAGGCTTACTTAAAGAGAGGAAGTAGATCTGGCAAATGAGTAAGGCAACAGATTCTTCTTCATAAGAGTTCTCTGTAGTGCTTCTTAAGGGAGGAAGCTGTAAAGATTTACAGCCTCAAAAACCCACAAGGGCAGTTCGTTCCTGTCCTATAAGGTTGCTATGAGTTGGAATCAACTCAATGGCATGAGTTTTGTGTACCTGGGTACTTTTAAGGAAATTACTCAGAGGCACTTGATAATAACAGGTACTAGATGAAATTCAGAGAGATGAAAGTTCTAGTCATCTACCATGTACTAGTTGTGTGACCTTGTCAAGTTACTTGGTCTCACCAAGCCTGTTACCTATCTGCAAGACAGGGATAATAATCGTAATCACCTCACTGTGTTAAATGAGATAAGTTTAAAGTTTTTAGCATGCTACTTGGAAAGTAGCTTCTAATTATTTCTCTAGCCATTCTTATTTTTCAACAGTCTACCATTAACCACGTTTTCCATATAACAGATCAATCTTAACCCCTTTCGTGGTTCAGGCCTTTTTTACTCACAAAGCCTAGGCCCCAGTGTTCAAGAGAGAATGTAACTAGTGTCAAAATATTAAGTTGCCTAATTTATTTTTTCTGCTTTTAAATCATTTTATTGGGGGCTCTACAGCTCTTATCACAATCCATACATCCATCATGTCAAGCACATTTGGACATATGTTGCCATCATCATTTTCAAAACATTTTCTACTTGAGCCCTTGGTATCAGCTCACTTTCCCCCTCCCTCTTTCCTCATGAACCCTTGATAATTTAGAAATTATTATTTGTTCATGTCTTACACTGACCACTGTCTCCCTTCACCCACTTTTCTGTTGTCCATCCCCCTGGAAAGGATTATATGTCAATCACTGTGATCGGTTCCCGCTTTCTCCCCCCACATTCCCCTTACCTTCTTAGTATTGCTACTCTCCTATTGGTCCTAAGGGGTTTATCTGTCCTGGATTCACTGTGTTGCAAGCTCTCATCTGTACCAGTGTACATGCTCTGATCTAGCCGGATTTGTAAGGTAGAATTAATTTGGGGGGGGGCTGGGTGGAGGAAGAATTAAAGAATTAGAGGAAAGTTATACATTTCATTGTTGCTATACTGCACCCTGACTGGCTCATCTCTTCCTTGTGACCCTTCTGTAAGGGATGTTCAATTGTCTACAGATGGATTTCGGGTCTCCACTCTGCCCTCCCCCTTATTCACATCAATATGATTTTTTGCTCTGGGTCTTTGATGCCAGATACCTGATCTCATCGATGCCTCATGATCACACAGGCTGGTGTGCTTCTTCCATGTGTACTTTGTTGCTTCTCAGCTAGATTAAACCCAATGTTAAGTCATTGTATCAATCAATCTCCTTGGGGATCTTCCTCTTTTTCACTGATCCTGTACTTTACCAAGCATGATATCCCTGATAAACCTAGTTTATTAGAACTGCCATCTCTTCTTCATTTGAAATCTGAGTTTGTGAGAGATCAGACTCAATAGTGTGGTTCTGAAAGTCTCTCGAAGAATTTTTTAAATCAGGCCTTAGAAACTAATATTAAATTCTGTCATTTAAGATGTTTTTATGATTAGATTTAACAAATCTGAAAGAGACAAAGAAGGTAGGAAGCATCTTTTTCATACTCAGAGCCCCTTTTCATCTCTTAGTAAGATGAAAAATTGGAATGCAGTCAGATCATTAACTTTTCCCATCCTAGTCGGCCTACTCTGTTCAATTCATAAGAAAAAACAGAGTAGCTTTCTCTTTCAGATCTTACACTTATGGGTTCATCTTGAAAATACGGTAGGGGCTGTTAACATTAGAAGTCTTACCTTAGTTCAAATTTCCCTTTATTTCAAACTAGCCATTTAACTCAACCCTAATTCCCTCATACTCTCTCAGTATATCTCCATTCTTCATACCAATTTTTTAAAAATCAATTTATTGGGGCTCATACAATTCATCACAATACATAGATCAATTGTGTAAAGCACATCTATACATTTGTTGCCCTCATCATTCCCAAAATTCGCTTTCCTCTTGGGTTCCCGGAATCAGCTCATTTTCCTTTTTTTCCCCTCCCCCTCCCTTCCTCGTCCCCTCTCCCCCATGCACCCTTGATAATTTATAAATCATTATTGTATCTTATATTACACTGTCCGGCATCTCCCTTCACCCACCCCTCTGCTGCCCGTTCCCCAGAGAGGAGGTTATATGTAGCGCCCTGTGATCCATTCCCCCTTTCTACACCCCCTTACCCTCCTGGTATCGCCACTGTCAGAGGTTCATCTGTCCTAGATTCCCTGTGTTTCCAATTCCCATCTGTACCGCTCTGCATCATCTGGTCTAACCAGGTCTGCAAGGTAGATTGGGGTCCTGGTAGTTGGGGGGAGGAAGCGTTTAAGAACTAGAGGAAGGTTGTGGGTTTCATTATTGCTATACTGCACCCTAAATGACTCATCTCCCCACTACCCCTCTGCAAGGTATGTCCAGTTGTCTACATACCAATTATTTTTACTGTTTCAATACAAGCAATAAACTTTCCATCTTAAGATAAACTGGAAGGTAAATAAAGAAAACAATTTAGAGAATTATTACGTTCAAGTTACTCTTATGTGATACCATCATAGTGAGATGGTTGGGAACAGAAATGACAACGGGGCTAACTGTATTTTGTGTTTTAATACTGTTTAGAATTCTTATTTGGCCTGCATTGATTTACTGTAGGCTTACTGCAATTTATTTTATGTCTAGGATTTGTGAGGCCATATTTAACTGTCAACTTTCTAGGTTTGTCTAAATTCTTAATTCAATCACTGGTGTGATATGGGTAATATAAACTACATCTTTCTCCCATGGAGCAGCTGATGGGTTTGAACCGTTGACCTTGCTATTAGCAACTGAACTTGTAAACCACTATACCACCAGGACTTCTCATTAGCAGGGTTAAATGGGAACATGTGGTCAGGTACACAAATCAAACTATCATCTAATTTTCTATCTTAGTAGCGATGAAAGGGAATATTGCCTAGGAAGAGGGCACTTCATTCGGCGTCTCTTTTGGAAGTAAGATAATGAAGTATAATGGAGGGAAGATAAAACTTTGGTTTGTATGTCCCTTTTCCCAACCCCAGTCCTTTGTATTTTTTAGAACTTGGACAAGTAACTTCTCATTCTGGGCTTAATGTGCCTCGTCTGCCAAATAAGGATAATACTATCTTCCATGTCCAAAAGCAGGGCTGGATAAGAGATCAAGGTCCCTACTATTCAACTCTACATCTGAGGCATTCCAAATCCAAACGAGTAGCCGGTGGCGGGAAGGAACAGCGTGGGTGGCTAGGGAAGGGTTAAGACCTAGGGTCTCAGGAATAAAGAACAATGAAGGAGGCCGAAGCCTGTTCTCACCGTGAGTATCTTATCACCCTCCTGGAGCCGACCATCCAGGGCCGCAGCCCCGTTCTCTTTGATACGGCTGACGTAGATGCCACTGTCGTTGGAGATATACTGCTGATCTGTCCCACCGACGATGTTGAAGCCCAGCCCTGAGAAAATCACGGAGGAATTGTGAAGGAGATAGACATGAGGAAGAAACAAAGGTATTAGAGAAGAAGGCACAGTAGAGAGGGCAGGCCTAGTGGGGAGGGGAGGTTGGTAAAGAATGGGCACTGGCAAATCAGATGGTGGTACAACTAGTGAATAGTGCAGCTGGTGAAAGGTTGGTGAGTACCAACAGAAGACAGGTGTATACAGAGCTTCCCAACCAGACCAGGCAGAACTCAATATTCAAACACAGTGATTAATGTTAATTGTATCAAAATAGATCTAAATAGAACTCAGTGGAAGAATCGTAATAATTTTTGAAATATCTGTAATTCATATTTCATTTTGATTCTGTTGGTGGCATTCAGAAACCCTGTCTAGCATTCCTGAAAATTAATGTACAGGGTTAACTCCATCTATGAGGTGAAGTTATGTTTTTAACCAAATACCAAATGACCCAACTGTTCCTATTTAGTGGAATTCCTAACATGCATTTTGATTGCATGTTTGATCAATTTCCAGCTGAAGTCATTGGTAGAATTCTTCAATTTCTTCATCATTAGCTTTTGTGGTTGGTATATAAATTTTAATAATCGTTGTATTGATTGGATTTCCTCCAAGGCAGAGGGATTTAATCCTATCACAGACAGCTTTGTACTTCAAAATGGTTTGTGCAATGTCCTTTTTGGCAATGAATACTGCACCATTCCTCTTGATTATGCTATTCCTGGCATAGTAAACCATATGATCTTCTGGTTCAAAATGGCCAGTATCAGTCCATTTCAGCTCCCTAATACCTAGTTATCGATATTTATGTGTTCAATTTCATCTTTGACCACTTCCAGTTTTTCTAGACTCAGACCTCACACATTCTAAGCTCTGAACATTAGCAGATTTTTGCAGCTGTTTCTCTTTCCTTGCATCATGACCTAACAGCACATGAAGACCCTGAAGGTTCCACTCCCTCCCACAGACCTTACCCCACTCAGGTCACCATGGCTGACTCCACTCTGTGAAAGCACAGCCTCCTCGGTCGCGTTTCGCTTGTCCACAGACCAGACGGGCCCATCCTCCAGCACCCTCTCCGACAATGTTCTGCTTTCAATCATTAGGCTTTCATACCCATAGGATATGAAAATCAAAGCTTTGGTTTAAGTATCAGAATCTTTCTTCCTTTGAATACCCATAATTTGTCTCACAGTGGGTGGGGAAATATTGACAGTTAAATAAACTCGTTGTCATCAAATCAATTCCAATTCATAGCAACCCTATAGGATAGAGTCAAACTGCCCCTATAGGTTTCTGAAACTGTCACTCTTTATGGGAGTAGAAATCTTGCTCTTTCTCCAGTAGACTGGCTGGTGGTCTCAAACGGCTGATAAGGCAGTTGGTAGCCCAACACGTAACCTACACACCATGGAACGCTGTGGTTAGGTGTCATTGAGCCAGTTCTGACTCATATCGATCCTCTGCACAACAGAATGAAACACTGCAGGGTCCTAGGCCGTCCTCACAAGTGTTCCTGTGCCTCAGCCCACTGTTGCAGCCACTGTGTCCATCCGCCTCAAGGGCCTTCCTCTTTCCTTGACCGTCCACTTTACCACTGTTCTTCTCCAGGGTCAGGTCCCAACTGACAATACTCCCATAGTATGTAAGACAAAGTCTTGCCCCCCTTGCCTCTAAGGAACACTCTGGTCATACTTCTTCCACAACTTACATATTGTTTTGCGCTTTTGCCAGTGCATGGTACTTTCAATATTCTTCTCCAGCACCAGTATTCAAATGCATCCATTCTTCTTCGGTCTTACTCATTTAATGTCCAACTTTCACGTACATATGAGGCAATTAAAAATATCATGGCTTGAGTCAGGTACGCCATAATCCTCAAAGTAACATCCTTGCTTTTCAACACATTAAAGAGGTCAATAAGACAAGGGAAACATTAAATAATCACTTATAAAATACAATGGTTGATTTGATTTTTTTATGTAATACTGCCACCTCATAGCCCAATACCTTCCCATAAATTACAAACAATATCCACTTACAATACTGCATATATATTTAAGGATATTAAAAAACATGAATACCTAAGGGCAAAGTGATATTGAATAAGGCTTATGAATGAAGGATTAAAAATAAAAGAGAGGCCTTACATACAAGTAGTCCCCAGTCTACAATATATTCAAGTTATGGCAAACAACTTCGTTCCCACAAAGTAGTGAAATTGATGCCTGGTTTCAAAGCATTTAAAGGCAGAATCATGCTGCTGTCTGAAGAAATGCTTTCTTGTTTATCATTCTTAAAACTTCTAAATTTTGAAAATTGACAAAAATAACTACTAATGCCCAGTTACCACTGCTGACCACTCTGAAAAGGGGTCACAATAGAAGGTCCACAAGAGAAGAAGAAAAATGTGGAACAAAACTCCAGACCATAAAAAGAACCAGACTTATTCTTCTGATACAAACTGGTAGAAGCCACACGATTATGGCTCTTCTACCACTTAAGCCTGGAACTGAACTCACACCCGTAGCTCAGCTTTCAGTCAAACACCACACAGGCCCACAAGGAAAGCAATAGTACCAAGAAGGCATAACTCCTTAGGATAATCAATCGGCTGAGATTAAGGGCAGCAGTTACCCAAGGTCAAAGGTCAGATAAAGTCCAGTGACCATTACTAAATGTTTTGAAGAATCTTGATCTAAAAGGGAAAATTCAGAAGTTCACGTTTTCATGGCATCCTGGAGCCATGAAGACTGGATGAACCCCTGAAGCTATTGCCCGGAGATAACCTTTAAATCTTAAACCAGACATATCCCATGCAGTCATAAAACCAAGCAGGAGCTTAACTTAACCAGTAAGGAAAACTTGTCTTCAGCATTATGTTTTTTTCTATATTTACCTACACAAGATCAAACTGACAACAGCAATACGAAAGATTAGGTAGGAACTTTAGAGAACAATGAGTTCATGTTAATAGGAGAGGAACAACTCAGAAAAAGAGCAAATGGGTACACAACTCAAAGAATACAATCAATGCCACAAGTCAAATATGTAGAAACTGATGAACTATGTACGTTTTGCTATGTATATTCTCAACAACTTTTTTTTCCAAAACCATTTACCATTCCATAGTTCAATTACATCAAACAGTATTGTACAATTGCTACCACAATCAGTTTCAAAACATTTTCTTCCTTCTTGAACTCCTT